CCTAAAATCAATTGGAAAGAAAGAATCTTTTTATTCTGTGTGAACTGAAGGATTCTGCAGTTATTAGGGATACAGTTTATTACACAGGCTTAGAACTGTAACAATTCTCTGAAAACATCAAGAAGGAAAACCATGGTAATTTACCATATGTGATTAAATAATAATTTGTAGTGTTTACTTAATGATGCTTAACACCAGCTTTGTATTCACTTAGCATTATCACAAGTTGCGGGGAGTGCGGGGAGAGCTTTTTGAGTGGATTGAGTTTAATCATGGAAGTTTCCATTTACAATATACACACCTGTGCACAAGACTTCTCCTAACAGACCAGGCCAACTTTATAAAATATAACTCCTATCCTCAGTAGCACTACTACTTAGTTAGAAATGTATGAAAATGGGGCTTTAAAAGTATTTATGCCAAGATGAACTTGGAAGCAAAAGTAAGCTAGAACTTCAAAATCATTAAGAATATGTACTTTCACACTAAATAAAGCTAAACACAAAATCAAAACAAAACCCAGCAAGATTTAAAATTCAGGGAAAGCTAATATTGATACATACAATTAAGACTCCCTAGAGTACTTCCTCTTAACACATTCTGAAGACATCAAAATTTTGCTAAGCTTTAGATGTTTGGGGTGAAATTTCCCATGCTCTCATTTTTGCTTCAGGCAAATCATTCTTTTATGTGAAAACAAAGTGAGCATTTTCAAAAGGGTTCATGAAAAAGACGCAACTTTAATAATGAATAATATTTTTCTCCAGATATTTCTGTGACAAAGTCCCAGCCTTATAAAGAGAAATTAAGCTCTTAAGGAAGCCTGCCTTGAATTCAGAGGTGTATTTTGCTGTTCTGAAAATCCATGCCCCTTTGCCTTTAATTTAATGGAAATCTCCACATGCTCCCATGGGATAGAGCTCCTGTCCACTTGCTATCTGCATCAAGACACGTGAGCATACTCACCATACTTACGCACACTAGCTGTACTGAGTGTACACCCATGGTTCAAGGGGTTTTATAACTACAGGAACATTCAAGCTGCTGGAAACCCTGAAAAAGCCTGGTTATGACTTTCCTTTCATCCACACATGTTCTGAATGACTTATGCTTGCAACAGCTGTAGTTACCTCTTCTTCTTGACCTAACCACTCTGGCCCAAAGGAAAATGCACTCAATTAAGAGCCAGGAAGTCATCATGGGTTCTACTTTCAGCTCTTTTTTTAACTGTTTGTCCTTTTTAAGTCACAGCCCTCATTATTGAGCAACAACTCAGAGTCTGTTTTAAGGAGAAAGCATTCTGCTTACAGATTTAATAACAGAGGTTGCACAGCTATAACAGTGGAACAGAATTCAGGCTTCTAAATAAGGCTACTTAGGTATTACTGTTAACTAATCACTATCTTTTCATTTAGGATCAAATGAGCCAAAAATGAAAGTTATCTATAGCCATTTGACCACACCCTCCCTTCCTTAGAAAAAAACTAGCATACTAATTTTACAGCCTTATTTGAAGGCAAGCATGGAAATAGCTTAAAAGCACACCCAGTAATATAAATTACATATACAATTATAGTTGTACTTAATACTTGCTGATCATAATTACAGAACAGCAAGTCATTTCCTTCCATTCTATTTCAATGCATTTGTGTCATTTGTGTATTAATAAGAGTAAGCAATTCCCTAGGCTGCTTTTGAAATTTGTTAGAATGGTCCTGACTAATTATTTCCATTTTAAAAGGCTGGATTTTTTGAAGTTTTTCATTTTAGCCAGAAAACTTCAGCTTTGCTGGAAAATCAGAACTTTTATAAGGGAGTAAAAAATTTCAGCTTAAAGCTTCGAAACTATGTATTGGCAGTTCCAGTTTTCTGTAAAAGGATGTATTTTTTCACTGAAAGAATTTCATGAAAACATTTTTTTTTCATTTTTATTGAAAATCTTCATTTACAACATAGATAAATACAACCTTTCTTCCAACAGTTCCAGCAAGGTTTGCTACCGTGTGAGAATCATGTCATAAAATATCATATTTTATATATATGCTAAAAGGATAGCTTATCTGAATTCTTGAGATTTGACTCATTCATAGCTGAAGTCCAATGCTGCAATATGACAGTCAGTACTACCTGTATCACATTACCAGTTGCTATTACTTTCTTTTTTACTTTCCTCCTTTTCTAACATAAACTGCTAGACAAAACAAAAATGTTCTACAGATACTTTTTTCCCTTAGAGATCTCCCATCCAAATACTGAACAGTGTTAACTTCACCTGTCATACACCCTTTGACAAGATCACAACCCATGCTGGTTTGGCCGCAGGTCACTGATTTTTGTTATGGCTGTTGCTTGTATGCCCAAGGGAATAACACAACAGGACCAGAAGTCAGTTCTGTCTGTCCTACATTACCCAGCCAGTATAGATTTTTTTGTCTTAACTTTTTAAACACTGTTAGGGTTAGCCTGTTTCTAGAATTTGTGTGGACATGAAATTGGAAAGGACAAGAGAGTAAGAACAAATGAAAGTACTTCTGTCTCTACACCTGGGATTAGCAGTCCTCTCCATCATATGCCTTCAAGACAAAAACATACACATACTCACCACAGAATTCAAAGCAGGAATAACAACTGTAAGAACTTCTTCATGAAGCAGGTATCTACACCTTGAACCTCCACATGGGTTTATAGCAGGCAAGCCCAAGCTACTGTTTATACATCCAACTCACTAGGATAACTCATTTATCTAGCTGTGAGCTGTCCTGCTGATGGGGGAAGGTTCCAGGCTTTGATACCAAAAAAGAGATCACCCTCATCCCAGAAGCATACATGCACATACCGCACAGGTAAAATTGAATTACACATGCATACAGGCAACACTTTTGGAAAAAATAAGGTTAACTGCTCACGCGCAGCTGAAGGGTACCATGCCTACACTGTCTGTCAAGTGATGTGCCAGACCAAAGAGTGGGAAACTTACAGGGACTCTAGGGACTCCAAATAACTGAAGGGATCTCAAGAGGTTTTGAGGCCAACCTCCTGCTCAGATAGAGTCAGCTATGAGATCAGACCACGTCGCTCAGGATTTTATCCAGCTGGGGCTCAAAAACCCTCAAGGACAGAGAACTGCACAACTTCTCTGGAATGCCTGTTCCGCTGCTGGACTGTTGTCATGGTAAAAAAGATTTTCTTCATATCCAGTTGGAATTTCCCTTGTTTCAATTTATTTCTTTTGTCTCTTGTCCTCCCACCATGCACCACTGTGAAGAGCCTGGCTCCATCTACTTGATGACCTGCTTGTCTGTACTGCCAGGCTGCTGTTAGGTCCCTCCCAAAGCTGCCCGTTCTTCAGGATGAACAAGCCCTCACCAGGTCTCTCACCCTTCCTCACAGGGCACATGCTCCAGCCCGTAACAGTCCTGGTGGTATCTGCTGAACTTACTCCACTTGATCATCTTTCGTGTACTGGGGCCTCAAAACTGGATGTAGTATTCTAGATGCTGTTTAACAACTGCTGAGCAAAGGGGAATAATCACTTCCCTCAATCATTCAACTGGCTATGCTTGCTATACAGTCCTCTTGGCTGCTAGAACACACTTTAGGGGCATGAAGACTCCTAGGCCCTTCTCAGTAGAGCTGCTCCCCAGCCAGCCCAACCCCAGCCTGTACCAGAGCCAGGGATTCTTCTTTCCCAGGTGCAGGACTTGGCATTTGTCTTGCTGAGGTTCATAATGCTCCTGTCAGGCCATTCCTCCAGTTTGTCTAGGTCCCTGTGAATGGTGGTCCTGTTCTCAAGTGTACTCACTACTCCCCTCTCCCTCCTCACCAAATTTGCAATCTGCAAACTTGACAACTGTGACTCAAGGTGACTCCATTGCCTCCTCCAAGTCATTGATAAAGACGTTAAACAGTGCAAGTTCCAAAAGAGACCCCTGAGGTACTACCCTTGTCACTGGCAACTAGATATAGTTCCCCATTTATCATGACCCATTCACCACTACCCTCTGGGTCTGAGCATCCACCCAGACTGTAATATCCCAACTTGGATGCAAGAACGCCACAGGAAACTGTGTTGAAAGCCTTGCTAAAGGCTCCCCTTGTCCACAAAATCAGTCATTTTGTCACAAAAGGCAATCAAGTTGGTCAGGCACGATTTGCCCTTGGTAAATCCATGCTGACAGTTCCCAAATACCTTCTATTTAATCTGTCCAGAAATGTGTTCCAAGAACTCACTCACAATTTTCCCAGGGAGCAAATACAGCTGACAGGTCTGTATTTTCCCTGACTGTCCTTTTGGCCTTTTTTGAAGATAGGTGAAATATTTGCCTCTTTCCAGCCATTAGGGACCTCCCCTGAAGTCCAGGACCTTTCAAAGATGATAGAGGATAGCCTCTCAAGGACACTGGCCAGCTCTTGCCATGCCCTCAGATGCAGCCCACCTGGTCTCAAAGATTTGTATGGGGGGAGGAGGGGTTCTTTCACATAACCAAATTCAGTGAGACTTAGGCCTCTAACCCTTCTAGATACCAGTGAAAATCTCAGCAAAATAGAACATCCTCAACGCTCCAGTTTTCAAATAGAGATTCGAAGTAGAAATCGAGTATTAGTAATCGGTATTAGTTTCAGAAAAACATGATCTCCAGTACAGTCTTAAAATGTGGCCACTGGTAAGCTACAATATTTTGATCTCAGAAACTACGATATCACAAGTATTTCTATGGTGTTTTGTGCTTGTTTCGTAGTTAAAACACAAGCAAAAGAAAAATTCTACTACATAAAAAGCAGCTATGGTTTCTTACTGCAGAAAAGCTTATCCCATACTGGAAAGCCCCAAACTGAAAAGAGAAGAACTAATCAATCAAAAAAACATCTTTTGTGAACCTAGCGATCCTTAGTTAATTAATGTCAGAAAAGGTAATAAAATAATATTAATTATAACAGATATGTTGAATCAGATATAATCAAACAAGTTCGTAGGTTAATTGAAATAATTACATTGAAACGGAATTTTTCATATTCCAGTGCCACACACTCTGAATAGATTTATATTTGTTCTTGAAATTAGATTTAAAAACCCACAGGCAGTATGCAAGTTCAAAACATTGTGTACGAATATTCATAATTTTCAAATTAAGGATTTTCCTACAAAGCTAAAATAATAATCTCTATTAAAACAAAACATAAGAGGAATTTGAAGTTTTAAGGTGAAAATATGATTGGCACAAAAAATCACATATGAAAAACTCTTCAGGTAAGTATAAAAAATATTACTGAAACATTCTAACACAAACAGGTTTTCATTACATGTTTGAATTGAAGCCATCAGTGAAATCTCAAATATGAGCAATTTGAATCTCAAAAGGTATTTTCAATGCATTTTTTCATGAAAACATACATTTATAGTCAGGGCTTCCAGGAGAAGATCATACTTGCTCATCCTAAATATAAAATTACTACTACTTGGCTACAACTCATGTTTCTATATATTAAAAGTACCTACAATTACAGCTGGTGGGGTATTTTCAGTGAAATGCTAATTTGAAAATGGTATGTATTATAGAAGCAAACCTGTTTCAATAATCTTCCAATAAAACATATGAGGGATTCAGTCGGAAAAAAAATGACCTGAAAAGTAAACTTATACTGTGACTCTAGACTAGTTTTCCTCCATCTCTCCTACTGAGCCATTGAAGACTCTAAATATTTAATTGTAGAGTCCTGTCCAGTGGGTCAAACTGGGGCTGAGGACTCCAAGATTTTCCAGGATATATGGTGCAGAAATTAAAAGCCCATAGGACTCTCAGAGCTTCCAGGCTATTGTGTGACATACTATGTAAAATGGACTCCTAACAGCCCTTGGCTGTCAGTTGTGTATCAGTCCACTAAGGTCACAGCTCAGTCAAGAGCTTGAATTGTGGGCTACCAGGACCATATCACAAAATAAATACACTTAAAATGTATTGGGAGGAGAGAGACTCTTCTCTTTGAAATTTAAAACACTCTCTCTCATTCTGAAGTTATTAAATATTCATCTTTGGTATTAAAAAATTTCCTTCGTTACCATGAGTTCAAAAGCAGCATTTGTTGTATTTAATATTTTATCTGTTTAAAAAGCTACTTACACATATATTCTGGGCAAATTTCAGACTCCAGACATGGAGGTTTGACTTTGCTGATTCAGAGGACATCACTTTAACAGTGATAAAGCAAAGGAATTGCCAATTAGGATATAAACTTATTCTTTATCCTTTGTACATGTGCATAGAAAGTAGAAATAAAATAGGGGAAAGAGCTAAAAATCTTGGAGTTTAAAATAGAAATCTCTATTCAAATACTACTTGATGATGGTAAAACAGAAGCCCTGTAAGCGACAGAATACCCCATGCTGTTGTTACTCAGTCGGCCTGTGACTCAAACTGGGTTGTTCCATTTTCAGCTTACAATAAATGCAACAGTCTTATTATAATTCTTTCACTGAAACATTCACCCAGATTTTACTGACACACTCTTTGAGTTGCGGAGCCATTCTACCAGCTGAGACAGCCACCTACTCAAGTTCTGAACGCAGTCCAATAAATTTAACCACTTAGGAAATTAAGTGAAAAAGTCATTACACTCAAAATTTTCTTTCTTGAAACAGATGTGCCATTTTTCCATAAATCTGTATTTTTATCATAACAAACACAAGCTTCATTTTATGACACTTATGTATAGGAATTCAAGTCATGCTTTGATCAAATTCTAAAAATAGACTTTTTTTTTTTGCTTTTCTTCTAGCTGGGGCCAAGCAATGTGCTAAGCATTTCCTTCTGGTAGGAAATCTCCAACAAGTTTGCCTCTTTATTTTTAGGCTATGCAGAAAACCAGATGTTTATTTAATTAAATCCACTCCCATACATTGCCTTCAGAGATTCTGTTGTCGTTGGGAATCCTCTAAAATATTGCTAGCTCTTGTGAATGCTCTGGAATTCATATCGTTTCAAGGACTAAACCTATTTTACGTTTCAAAAGGATGAGCATATTGAGACAGGGTAATTTTGCCAGACTAGGCACCCTGTAGTTGCCATAGGATAACACCAAACCTAACCAGCTAAACCACCACAAACACCACGTAACCCTACTGAAAATATACTTTTTTTAAGGACAATTTCAGAGTTCGAACGCAGGAGAACTCTAAAATTAAATCTGGCAAAAATCAATGGTGGAAGGAAATTAGTGTGCAGAGGTTCACAGAACACATTTTGAGAGCAGAAAGAATAGGTCTATGTATCTTACATGTTTCTGTTCACACTGTTATCTTTGCTTGTTAACATATTTTCAACCGTGAAATATTTACTACTCTATGTCTTACTAAGGAGTCAGAAGAAACTTAACACAGGAGAATTGATTCTCTTTTTGGAAACAGAGG